CCAGGCAAGCGCGCTACCGCTTGAGCCACATACCCAGCCCCCCTAGGTATTTGTCTTTCTCATGCTATTTTTGGACAGTATTTTTCATTTTGTATGTAGAAATATAATTGATTTTATATATTTATCTTGCATCCATACGTATTTCTTAATTCATATATCCTAATATATAAAATAGTTGAGAACTTTATAATACACAATCATATCATATCATCTGCAAAAATGAGAGTTTTTTTCTTTTCAATCCTTTTACTTGCTATTTCATATTTTTGCCAGTGTGGACTAGAAAGAAACTCCAGTTACCAGGTTGACTAGAAATGCTACTAGAAGATATTTTGGGCCTTGTTCTTGACCTCAAAGAAAAAGTTTCCAGTCCACATTTCTATACTGATTCCCATACTAACGTTCCCATGCTGAATGAGAGGGTCATGTCATCTTTCTTCGTCTTTGTATTTATGTAATCAATTACACTGATTGATATTTCAAAAGATAGTTTGCACTCCTGAAGTAAACCCATTGGGTAATTATTTATTATCCTTGTTTGGTTTTACTGGATTCTGTTTGCTAATTTTTTTGCATAGGATCTTGGCCTCTGTGTTCATGAAACTCATTTTTACGTATGTCCTATTGTCTTTGGTGATTTTTTTTTTCCTTTCAAAGTATACCTACTACATACTATGCTTAGAACATTAGTCAGAGACTGTTGCTTCTTTTCTGTTCCCTGGATGCATATGTGTAAGACTGGTGTCATTCTTTCTTCTTAAATGATAGAATTTATTTTGCCTGGCCATGGGGTACTATTTTTTATGAGAAGGGTATGTTTATGGATTCTGTTACGAAAAGGATGAAAACCTTGAGTATCTTCCATTGTCCAGGGACTTCTGAGGCATAGGACAGAGAGCAAGGGGGAGGGGGAGTGTTATATGACATATAAAAATGGCTGCCATTTTCCTAAGAGGCCCCTGTCCTGGTTCCCACCTACTTTGACATACTCCCCCTGACCCAGCGGTCCTATTGGTCTTATGAGCATGGGTTCTCAGGCTCCCCATGATGACCCAGACCCAGAATATCAGAGAAGGCTCTGGTGTGGGGCAGAGGACACTGGGGGAGGGGGACAGCTTGAAGCAGACAGAGGCTCTTTGTTTGCTCTGCTTCTGTGTAAATTGGGCAACTTTTGTAAACAGCAAATATTGGTTCAGAGGCTCACTGCCTTCCTGCCCACCCCCTCTTTGGCAGCTGCCCCAACTCCCCTGCACGTACACATGAGTTCAGCTATTTCTGTAAGAGGGCCAACCCTCGGGTTGGAATGGAAGGGTTTTATCTTGTGTGTGGTGGGTCATGCTCAGGTTGGTTCAGAAATGGAAGCCCCTTAGCTCCTCTCTCAATCTCTCTCTCCATTTCCTTCTCTTTCTCCCTCAAGTGCTTCCCTCCCTCTCTTCCTTTTCCGTTCTCTCTAAATAAAGAGAAGGGCAATATCAAGAAGGAAGCTGTGGTCTGAGGAAGGGTGGGGTGAGGAGATGTGAATTCTGGTCCCAGGGCTCTATGAACAAGAAACCATTACTTTTCTGTAGCATCCACTTTCGGAAAACCAGGGCACTGATTTCCTCTTGTAGGGATATCAGTTAAAAGCTCAAGATCTTGCTCCAGAACAGGGCATGCAGGGGAGCTAAACACATATTTTTCTCCCAGCTGAGCACAACACAGTGAGCCTGTCTCAGATTCTGCAGTCCAGCACCCAGACCTTCCCCAGACTGACCAAACCTTCTGATGAATGAACTTGGGGGCCGTGTATCTGGAGAGATGTTAGGGCTAGCAGTCCACATCTGACCCTTTCTCAATGTGACCCCAGATGAACCTGCCCTTGGCCTCCTTTACGTTCTGGCTTCCAAGGAGAAGCCCTGCTCCTGGTGGAAAGGTCCTGGTTTTGCATTCTGGCTTAGCAGCTGACCTTTGGAACAAGGCATGATTCTCTCTGGTCTTCCATTTCTGTCTCATCTGGAAGATGGAAATTCTAAGCCACCAATGTCAGAGGGCTGTGGTAAACCCATGGTGAAGCTCTCAGCAAGTCTCAGCCATCATTTAACTGCATAAGAGGGACAATGCGTGCCCAGATTCCAGAAAAATCTGAAATAGAATTAAACACATAAGTAAGGGCACAGGTACAAGTGTCATGGGCCACCAAGGACATGGAGCACTGTGTGGTTAACCTCTTACACCACAACCCTCTACAGGCATGGTACCCCATGCAATCAAGGTTGCACACATATATACACCCCCAAAACCAGCCTTGCCATTACCTGTCCCTCTGAAGAATGGCAGACACAGGACTCTGTTGCTGTCCTGCTCTTCAGTAGGAATGAAGTCTCTGTACCAGGTGTGAGTAGACGATGTGGCCACTGCTGCACCCCATGCCTCACAGGAGCTTCCTTCAATCCCGTGAGGCTGTACACACCCTTCTTAGCACCTGTCTTGGATTTGGATGCAGAGGATCCCACTGAGGGCAGGACCTGGGGTTGGCTGGTCTGGAGAGGGCTTAGCCTGGACACAGCTGCTGCCTGCTGAGAGGCCCTGGCTAAGTGGGAGCCTGTGGCTGCAGGAGTGAGTGTAGGAGAGGTCTGGGTTGGGGTGCGGTGGTGGATCATTGTCCATCTGTATGTCTATGCCCTGCGCTGAGCTTCTCTGAGTTTGTGGCATGAGCTCAGCATTTGACAACTCCACTTCCTGCTTCCTGGCAGACCTTGAATGCTCACTGCTGTCAATATCTTGGCTGCATATATACATGCTGTTTTGCTTGGTGCCCTCCCCGCCAGGCCTGCCCTGGAGTCTTACCGGCCTTTATGTCCCTGCCTTAGGGTCTTTCCATGGATCCAGACTATCCTCTAGGGTCGACTGCAGATGGCAGTAGGAATGTGCCCCTCTTGCCAATAGTCTTATTTTCTCATGGCTCAAGCTCAAGGGGCCCATACGAGAGGCAGGGAGCAGTAAGACAGGTCAGCTAGCGGCCTCTCTTCCTCATTAGTGAGGAAAGCCCCTGCTAAAGTAATGGTCTCTAAAGTGGGGTGCATGTAAACCCTTTCTATAGGAGACAACCTATGGGGATGTGGGAGAACATAACCTAACTTACAGTTATATTTATTGTTGCAAAAGATTAACAAATCATCATTCAATCATATTTAATGTGGGGATTGGCCTTGAATCCCCAGCTGGGTCAGAGTGTCGGTCAGTAGAATGTTGAGTGGAACCTTTGAGGTGTCCTTAGGAAAGATGGAGATCACTTCACAAAAGGGAGGCCCAGAGAAGCCGGTGCTGGATGCTTGTGGCACCCTGACTCCTGTCTCTCTCTCTCTCCTCTCTTTTCTTCCCCCCCCCCTCCTCCTCCTCCTCCTCCTTCTTTTGGTACTGGAGATTGAACCCAGTCCTTTTTATTTCTTAAATTTCAGACAAGGTCTTGCTAAGTTGCACAGGGTCTTGCTTAAATTGCAGAGGCTGGCCTTGAACTTGCATTCTCCTGACTGAGCCTCATGCATTGCTGGGATTACAGATATGTGCCACTCAGCCTTGACATTTTTTATTTGTTTGTTTCCATGCTTTTTGGTTTGCATGTGCCCAGTTAAATGGATGTACAAATTTAAAAATGTGGCTTTAACTCTCCAGCCCTCACAAGACACACAAGTGCCTTAAAACTATTCCTGCAAAGAAACTGGAATTAGAAGATAATTATGATAACACAATCACAAGTGAACAAAACCAAAATGGCCAAAGTGGCATGTCAAGTAGGCCTGGTATAAGCTCTTTGTCAGCTAAAATATGAGGCAGACACAGTAATTATATGATTAGATTGGATAAGAATAACTTTTGAAAATCCTAAAATTATCTTGATGACTCTCTGAAATCTGGATTTACACTTTGACTGAGGAACTTTGACCTTTCTCTATCTACTGTGCCATGGGGTACTATTTACTGTACATAAAGTAGCATAGGCAGAGGGATGTTTAAAAATGAGTGTGTCCATCTTTATCCCATCCTTTTATGAATTTCTATTCTTTGGGCCTGGCATGGTGGTGCATAGCTGTAATCCCAGCAATTTGGGAGGTTGAGGCAGGAGGATAAGAAGTTTGGGCTAGCCTCAGAAACTTAGGGGAGAACCTCAGCAACTTAGTAAGGCTCTGCCTCAAAAAAAAATCTATTAGTTCATGATTGAAATATACAGAATTTTTAGTTAAAATACATATGCAGAAAGCACTAATTCAATAATTTTGTGTGTGCGTGTGATAAAGATGTGCAATTAAAGCAGTTTAACGACTACTTAGCAGGAGGGGGATTGGGATTGTCCTGAGGCTTTAAGAACCGATCACAAATTCCTTGGGGTTGTTCTTAGTGCTAGCATGGCACGTTGTTGGGAATCTTAACGTCTTGACCATATTCCTGGAAGCTTCTTGTGAGAGGGGGTTTGTTTCGCACCTGACTGGCCCTAGCCCAAGGTGTGATACAGGAAGCTTGAGAGCAGAGAGTATTCAAGTCCAAAAGCCTGAGCTCAGCCACAAGGCTGGGCTTTGGGAGCCCAGGGGCAGGATTTTCAGGAAACCTGCGGAGAAGCAAAGGGTGCCTTTGACCCTGAGCCCCTCTTTTTTCCACATTCCCTATAGGAAGGGTTTTGCCTGCCTTTCCCGGGTTCTCGACGGGGTTCCAGGGCAGTGCCCTTCCCTCTCCAGGCCTGAGTCCCCGTCTATGCACGGAGCTGATGGGCCTGGAGGCACGCACTGGCCCTGACAGTCCTGGATTCTGGAGCAGAGCCACCCCAGCCCCACCCAGCCCGCTGAAGACGCGCTCCTGGCACTGAGCGAGCCACTCTAACAAAGAGCGGATTTTACTTTAGTTCCCTTCCAAACAGCATTTTTTGTGCGGGTCTGTCCCAGAGCTCAGGAAATGAGGTGATCATCAGGGTGAAAAAGGAAGGGGGATGGGTGAGGGTGATTGGGCAACCAGCTGCGCAAACACAGGAGGTCAAAGATTGCGCCCGCCCCGCGGCTCCCGCTGGGGATAAAGGCGCCCCGGGCGCTGAGACTCAGCGCAGAAGCAGGTGGTCTTTGCTCACCGCTCCTTGCCACACCGGGAGGATGAGGCTCTCCGTGGGCGCCCTGCTGGCCTGCGCCGTCCTGGGTGAGTGCCTGCGCGGGAAGGACCGAGTCTCCACCCCAGGCATCCCTTGCACCCTGGAAGCCCGGGTGCCTTTTCCGTGCCTCTTCTTTGCCACTCCTTCTGCTGCACCCTGCTTGAGCCTCTGGCCACCCTGCTGACCCTGCTTAATGCCTCTTCCCCCTCTGTCCAGTAAATCAAATATAATAAAATAGGGCACGTCTAAGCACAGTTTATCCGGGCGCTTTTCTGCTGCCTCTTTTGTCAAGTCTAAACTCCTTGGCAGGGAATCCGAACTTCCCCTGGATCACTCATTGCCCCCCTTCATAATCTGATGTCCCGTGGGTGCTCTTGACGCTGGTGATACCCTACTAGGGAGGCAGGGCCATCCTGTGTTCAGAGGATGCCACTGGAAACCAGAATTCTTGGGTCCTCATCCTGGCCAGGCTCCTCACCTGTGAGAGGCGCAATCCTAACACCTGCCTGGGAGGGTCATGCAAAGATACCAGGCAAGGTTGGAGAATGCCACAGGTGGCCAATGGCTTCCCCCAATCTGAGGTTGTTGAGCCCTCTTCCTATATCAATGCCTCCTCCGGCTCACTCATTTTTTGCAGGGAAGGCAGGTACTGGGGATTGAACCCAGGGGTGCTTAACCACTGGGTCACATCGAGAGCCCATTTTATTTTATTTTTTCATTTTCAGACAAGGCCTCACTAAGTTGCGGAGGCTGGCTTTGAACTTGTGATCCTCCTGCCTCGGCCTCCTAAATCATTGGGATGAAGGTGTAAGCCACTAAGCCTGGCTTGCCGCTCACTCATTTGTCACACAGTTGTAGGCTTCCACATGGGGTTATATTTGCCTTCTCTGAAACTATCAATTCTTCATGAGGGTGTGTGAGATCCACACATGACTGAGGACTGAGTCTCCCTGTAGAAGTTGGGAGAAAGGTCTGGAGAGGTGGTTTGGGGAGAGTTTGCTACTGGTAGTGATGCCTCTTGTGAATTCCCAGGGCCAAGGTAGAGCAAGGCAGGGAGGTTGGGGCGGTCATTCCCCCCATGATCCTTTCTTTTATCATCCTGGAGAACTGTTGGCTGTGGCCCTGTTGCTCTGTGTCTTGCGGATCTGCTTGAGTCAGCGAGTCAGCCTAGCTGTGTTGACGCAGGGGGGTGATACTGAGGGCTTGGAGGGGTGGAGCCAAAGCTCATGGATAGGGACATCTCTCACACACATGGATTTTAATAGCTCTGGGTGTGGCTGGAGTCAGCTTGCTTTCTAAATGACGGTCAAAAAGAGAAATGAAAATTGGAGAAGATTTCAGTGGAAAAAGGGAAGACTGCTGAATAGATGGAGTTTTTAGTTATAACTAAAAAGAATGGCAGATGAATATCACAAGCAAATTCGTGATCTTTTTATGCATTTCCCTCCCCACCACCAACCCACCACTACTGAGGAAGAAGGGGCCAAGTAACTAAGAGTTTTGTCTTCCCTTGTGCTCTGAGCATCGGACCAAGTGTCTGGAGACCTGGGTTCCAAGCCTGACTTGGCCACAAACAAATGGGTTGACATTGGATAAAAAAGCAATGTTCTTGGGCTGGGGCTGGGGCTCAGCGGTAAAGCACTTGCCTGGCATGTGTGAGGCACTGGGTTCGATTCTCAGCACCACATATAAATAAATAAAATAAAGGTCTATGCACAACTAAAAAAAAGGGGGGGGGCATTGTTCTTTGAATCCAGCTCCCTCATTTCTAAAAGGTGGTAATTCCTCCCCTGCTGGCCTCCCAGAGTTGTACTGAGCCAATGGGTTGAGGTGGCTAAAAATGCTATGTGCATACCCAGGAGTATGTTTTGCTGCTAGCGGGGGTGAGGGAAGGAGGCAAGAAGAAGGCAGGCAGTTGGGAGATGGTGGACTGAATGCCAGCATCCCTCTGAGCAGCAAAGAGTGGTCAGCAGAAAACTGGGAAGCCACTGGGGTCCCACTCAGAAAGCAGGGGAGCCTGTTCCCTGCGGTGTTCATGGATAGGAGTGAGATGAAGACAGGACCGAGGATATGTGACCATCAAGGCCCTTCAGAGAATGATGCTGTCTCCCCCTGGCACAGGGAGTGGGTCCCTTATTGGTCTGGCTTCTCACCCCCAGGGCTATGTCTGGCTGTCCCCGAGAAAACTGTAAGATGGTGCGCTGTGTCAGATCATGAGGCCAACAAATGCGTGGCTTTCCGTGACAACATGAAGAAAGTCCTTCCAGCCGATGGTCTCCGCATGGCTTGTGTGAAGAAGACGTCCTACCTGGATTGTATCAAAGCCATCGCGGTAAGTCACTGCTGCCTACAAGAGAGTAGACGTTTTGGAAATGCACACACATTGTTGAATCACTTCAAAAATGGAATTAGGGGAGGTCATCTTTAGACATATTCATCTAAAAAAAAATCAAAAGCCAATGTGCTCTGAAAATTGACTTTTTGAGGTACAAAGGTCTGTGAATTCTGGGAAGAAATAAGAAAGTGTTCTATCATGATAATTATATAACCTCATTTGGAATCTGGTGTCCTTTGGTGGTGCAGGGGATTGAACCCAGGGCCTTGCAGTGCTAAGCATGTTGTTCTACCACTGAGCTACATGGCCAGCCCTGGAAGTTCTTGATACATCCTTGGGAAGAAAATGAGGGATGCACACAGGGAGGGAGAATAGTATCCTGATTGCAGATGAAGGCTGATCCCTTTGTTCTCGAGGTCTACAAAAATACTCTTCATCCCTTCTGTATATCCCCTGTGCAAATGAACGTGTGTCACATCTTGTGCGGGGTCATGGGCTGCAGAGGGGAATTCAAAACACATGGTCCCTACCCTGAGGAGCTCACATCCTAGTCAGAAGAGAGGGAAAACACATGCATGAGTAAATGACTCATTTCAAAATGTGGTACATACAAGGAAGGGAAAGAGGAGAGTGTTCTGACAGGGACTCACAGAGAAACCTGCTTTGGCCTGAGTGGTCAGGGACGGTCTCTTTGAGAGGCAAGCAGGGAAAATACACCAGGCTGTGTCTACCAGGCATTGAGGGTTCTACCCTCACACAGAGATAGGGAGACAGATGCCCTGTCCTTCCTGATGGTTATATCTCAAAGGAATGGCTCTCAGGTCCTTGAGAGATGCTTCCGGAGTGCAAGATATACAGATTCACAATTATAAGCCTTTTTCACTGATTGCTCTTAGAAAGGGAGGGCAGGTGTGTTAGTGAGAGGAAATGTGAACATTCCTGCAGTGTCGCACGCTCTCAGGCATGTTGAGAGGGCTGGGGTTGTCCTAGGGACATGGCCTCATGCTTTTAGAAGCCATGCTGGAGTATGGTTAAGCCTTTTGGTGCAGGGCTTTGGATGGGCTTGTCACGCGCAGAAAGTTCTCTAGTTCTCTGAGCAAAGCAAGCGGGTAGAGATGGCTGGAAGGGAAGCGGTGGAATAGGTAGGCTCAGCCAGGTGGAAATCAGCACTGGTTTAAAGAATTGGCCTGTTGTGTCCCACCTGCTCCTATATCAGTATCTTCTTGATGGCTTTGCCTCCCCGTCACCCGGCTTCTCCCCAGCCCACTCGCTGTGGCTCACTTTCTTCTGGGTTTGGTCATCTGAACTGTGAGGTCAGGCTTGACCTCTTACTGGTCCAGGTTGCCCCTGGGAATCGCTGCTGCTCTTGTGTTGGGGCTCCTGTTTTAGATCTGGGCTTCCTGACTTCTAGGGCCTCTGAGGCTCTAGTGACTCCTGTCCAGGGTTTTGGTGTCCTGGCCAAGAAAGTCCAGATCCCTGACCACTCTCCAACCCCCAGCGCACCAGGCAAAGCTCTTATTTGCTATTCACTTTGATTCAGTGGCATGAGGGGTGAGGTTGGGTGAGGTGGGGAAGGTACCAACAGGTTTAAACAGCCACAAAGAGCTTTATATCTGGAGTGTAGTTGTGTGGAACACAAGAGTCCATTGTGTCTCCTGTTTATGACACTGAAAAAAGATGTATTGACAATTTAAAAATTTTTGATGTGTTTTGTCATATTAAAGATATGCTTTTATCAGGTTGGGTGGATAGTTCAGTGATAGAGAGCTTGCCTATGAGGCCTAGGGTTTGGTGGGGACCACAGCACCGTGAACACATGTGCATGCACACATGCACCCATGCATACGGATATGTTTTTACAACCCAACTGCCCATAGGTGAGCGGACAGATAATCAAAATGTGTGTGTGCAAGTGTATGTATATATATATTATACACACACACACACACACACACACAATGAGTTGTTTTCAGCCATAAAAAATTTATGAGATTCTGAAACATGCTGCAGCATAGATGAACAGGAAAGTAAGCCAGATACAAAAGAACAAATGCTGCGTGATTCCATTTTCATGAGGTGCCTACAACAGTCAAACTCATAAAGACAGGAAGTGGGATAATAGTTAGCAGAGCCTAAGGTGGGGGTGTGTGTGGGTGGAGTGGGGAGATGGGAAGAAACTGTTTCATAGGCACAGAGTCGTTTTAAGAAGATTAAAAAAGTAGGGGTGATAAACAACAATGTAAATGTGCCTAATGCCACTAAAATGTACACTTAAAATGGTTGAAATGGTGAATTTTATGTTACATACATTTTATTAAAATAAAACAATTAAAAATTCCAACAGGGATTGTGGCTCAGTAGCAGAGTGCTTACCTTGCCTGTGTGAGGCACTGGGTTCAATCCTCAGCACCACATTAAATAAATAAACATACAAATAAATAAATAAATGTATTATGTCCATCGACAACTAAAAAATATATATTTAAAAAAATTTTTTTTCAACCAGAAAAAGAGTTTGGCTTATGGCAGTTTTTGTTTCACTTAGAAATACTTGGTCTTATTACTTACCTGTAACATGGCAAAGATCAAGGTGCTATGTAGTTTTTTGCCTTATAATTTAATCAATAAGAACCCTTTATAGAGAACTAGCAAGTGCTTCTGGAAAAATCATTTTGATTAAAAAATATCTGAAGCAGAAAAAAGGAGTGAAAATATGTTTTAAGGGTATATAAAACATGGTTTGGCTTACTGTAAGAATTCAAGAAAAAAGAAACTGTAGATGTAGTAGGAAGGCAGCTATAAAATTTCAAGTGACTTATTGATTTAAAGATGAGGATTCATAGAAGCACAAGGTAAACAAACAAAATCCCTGAAGAAATAGTGAAGTGGTAAAAAGCAAATCCAAGCTGCCTGAATGCAAATCTCAGCCGCTTGACTTACTGCCTGTGGGGCCTGGGAGAGTGACTTAACCTTTATGAGCCCCTGTTTTCTGACTTGTAAAATGGAGCTGAGATAGACAGGAAAGCTTCTAGGTGTCAGAGTAGACAACTACCCCCAAAATAAGCAAAAATGGGGTAATGATGATCACTTAGTTTAACCATGTAGTTAGATCCAAAGATAGTGCTCAAACCTTGAATGAAAGCTTCCTGCAGCTTTATGGACCCAGGACAGGAAGGAAAAGTCTTGAGCACTGAGTCGGGGGGTGGGGGGGAAGACAAATGTCTTTGAGGTCTCCATCCCTGTCTAGAGGAAGGTCCCCATTCAGGCACCTGAGAAAGACCTCATGGAAGTCTCAAGATATAGGGGTCTCTGGGAAGGGAGCACGGCCATCCATAAGGTTCTGAGCTCTTTTTTATAGTTCCCTTCAGAGACTTCAGTGCAGTGACTGTGCCCAGGTCTGGGACAGGGAGGGAAGATTTCTCCACCAGACCTGCCAGGTCAACCCTTTGCAATTGCCCAGGGTACAACCACGTAGGATTTTTAGCCAGGAGTTGGACACTTCATCAGGGAAAAGAGAAAATATAACCCATTCCTTTCTCTATGCAGGAAAAGGAATATGGTGGCCAAGTGCTCATTTGAGGGCGATGGAGTCCACCAAATCCAGCAGTGTTGTGTGTGGTCTGGCCAAGTTGAGGGTTCTTCTGGCCCTAGGCCTATGAAGCCTTGCTAGTCACTCCCTATTGGCTGGGTTTAGGTGGGCCTTCCTTGGAAGTGAGGGCTTCATCCTCAAGGTCTGGCCTGTTCTCTTGCAGGCAAATGAAGCAGATGCTGTGACCCTAGATGCGGGTTTGGTGTACGAGGCAGGCCTGACTCCCAACAACCTGAAGCCTGTGGCAGCAGAATTCTACGGGACACTAGAGAGTAAGTCCTTCTTGGGCCTCTTAGAGGGAGTCTGTGGCCCTCACCTTCTGGTAGATAATGAGTCTTGTATTTCACAGACAGGCATTGGATACTAAACCCTAATAACTGTTCGTCTTTGGGGAAGAAGAGCCCTGTTGGTCACCACAAGCACAGAGCACACCCTCTGTGGGCTTTGGACTGGTTGAGAGCTGGTGTACCTGATCTTGACCCACTGAGCCAATCATGTGCTCACTGGAGAAACAGAAGGCTGGGTGCAGCTTGGCCTGAGGGTCATTGGGGGCTGGTGCCAAGTCCAAGGTCTCTGGAGGTCTTCTAGAACCACAGGTGCCATGTGTGTGGGAGAGCCCACTCTGGAACATGCCCTGGGACCTTAACAGCTCAGAAAGTGTGTTTTGAGATCAACTTGACAGTCCATGCCAGTGCCAGGGGACAGGAAATACTTTGAGAGAGGTGGGGAATGGGACCCTTTGTACCCACAGCTTCAGTTCCCTGGTAGCCTTGGATGGGTAGATGTAGGCAAAAACACTGTTAGGGCCAGGGTAGGTAGAGCACTTGGGACACTTTGGTGCTGGCCCCTGGAGTGATTACAAACACACTTTCTGTCTTTTCTTTCTCCTGAAATCCTAGGAAGCTTTCCCTTATGCCCTCTTCATTGCCACCCAACTCAATATAGACACCCTCTAGATTCCCCTTCTCTCCTCAAGAGCCTGGGGGACAGGTGCAGTGTTTTTCTGTGCTGGGTTAAGGATCTTCCACTCATGCCATCCCTTTGCAGATCCACAGACCTTCTATTATGCTGTTGCCGTGGTGAAGAAGGGCAGTGGCTTCCAGCTGAACCAGCTCCGAGGCAAGAAGTCCTGCCACACAGGCCTGGGCAGGTCTGCTGGGTGGAACATCCCCATAGGCTTGCTTTACTGTGACTTACCCGAGCCCCGGAAGCCTCTTGAGAAAGGTAAGCTGGCCTCTCTACCCTGGATATACCTACCTAGGCCACACAGGGGTCACACAGTTATGATCAGCTGAACAGGTGGGCTGAACTCCATGTTGGAAGGCGAGGTGAACCACCTTGAATCTGGCAGGTCTGCTGCACCAGCTGCCCTTGGGAAGTGGCGGCTGAGCCTTTTCTGCTCTGAGCTCCCAACATTTCAGCAGAGGCTTTTCTGAGAAGGGGAAGAAAGAGAGCATCAGGGTCCTCAAAGGGTTTAGCCTGGACCGCAGGGCTGGGCCCTCTTGTTTACTTCCCTAGAGTTTCTGTCTGGGATGATGTGTGCCCCATTCTGCTGGAGGCTGCTTTGGTGACTGTCTGCTGGCCATGAGGTTGGCCGGCACCCCTCTGGGAAGTCCTCCCATTTCTAGTGTATGGGTCCCAGAGGGACCTCTTGGAACTGATCCAGCCTCTCACAGGGCAGGGAAGGGGCCCAGGCCTGTTTCCTTGGTTGGGTGGTTGCAGGACAGGGGTTAACTTGTTCCTGTTTGAAAACCCTGGATCCTGACAAGTTAACACAAGTAAGACTGAGCTGGGACTGGGATGGTTGGTTTTATTTTAACCCCCTTCACCCTGTTTTCTGGTGAGTGGGGACTGGGAGACGTCATTGGCTTTGGCCAGCCTTGCTTATGCCTTGTGGTCCATTTCTCTGTGTTGAGCAGCAGTGGCCAGTTTCTTCTCGGGCAGCTGCGTCCCGTGTGCAGATGGAGTAGCCTTCCCTCAACTGTGCCAGCTGTGTCCAGGGTGTGGCTGCTCCTCTGCTCAACCATACTTTGGCTACTCAGGCGCCTTCAAGTGAGTAAGACTGACCACTGCCCCCTGCTGGCCAAAGTGCCAAATGTCCTCAGAGTTCTTTGCTAGCCCCAAGTAAAGCCCTGCTTGCCTATTAAGAAGTCCCAATCTGCTCCCAGTGAGATAGTGGTACCTCTGGGATTCCAGAGGCCAGGCCAGCCCCTTTCCCTGATGATCAGTCCCCTCTTTGGGAGTCCTTTCTTTCTCCTCACAGCCCTGAAGCCTGGCTAATGTCTCTTCTTGCTGGACTGAGCAGAGTCTGAAAGGACAGGCACGTCCCTAGTGACAGACAGGCAGGCTCACCATACAGTGACAGACACTCTGCTGTCTATTGCAGCAGTATAACAGGCTCCAAGCACCTACCTCCCCTACCTCCCCTTAATTCCCCTATCCAGAAGCCCATGTGGCTGGTTTTTTGCTTCCTGTTTTTGCTTTGGCTATATCCTAAAGTTTTATCATAAGCCAAGGGCACTTTTCTACCCTCAAGAGAAGGTAGACATACCAGGACTCAAAGAATATTTTTTTACATTAAAATACCTTCAATTTGTTCTTGTTGCTTTTGGACAACATAAGGTAAAGGACCTTTCATCTCCTGGGAATCAACCACCCCTCCCATCCCACTGGTACCCTGAATATCAGCACCCCATGGTGCTGCCTCAGAGGCTTCCCCCAGACTCTGTTTCCATTTGAGGGCTGGACAGTGGGATCAGACCCTCCTGGTGCCCAAGAGTGTTTTGTAAGAGTGTTCTAATGTGTTTCTTTCACACAGGTGTCTGAAAGACGATGCTGGGGAGGTGGCCTTTGTCAAACACTTGACCATATTTGGTAAGTGATGGAAGAAGACACTGGAAGTTCCTCTCTAAGGAGTGAGAGTTCTTCTTCCTTGCCTGCTTTTCCATGCTCACTAGGTAGACAGGGGCATACAGTGTTTCTCTTCTATCATTGCTTGGGTTTCTTCCTGTACAGAGGTGGGTACTTTTGGGTTCCCCATCTGGATTCTTGGGCCTTTTTGCATTATACAGCCTCTTTACACAAGTTAATCTGCCTCTGGGGCAGTATACCTGTATCTAAGGATTGGGAGCTAGTCTGGCTGACCTTGACCTGTCAGTCATCCTGATGAGATCAGACGCATGGGATGTGGGACAGTTTTGCTGCACGGATATCAGAAGCCTGCAGGCCTTTATCTGACTGTGCAGTCACTTTCCTGCATGTTCCATGGTCCTCAGGGTTCACTCAAAGCCTCTCAGCTCCCACTTTCTGTTATCAACAGGATTGCAGGGGAGAGTAGGGGGCACCCTAGTTCCACCAGCAGTGGGCTCATCTGGACTTTCCCTCCCCAGAGAACCTGGAACAGAAGGCTGACAGGGACCAGTATGAGCTGCTTTGCACAGACAACACCCGGAAGCCTGTGGATGAATATGAGAGTTGCTACTTGGCCCGGGTTCCTTCTCATGCTGTCGTGGCTCGAACCGTGGATGGCAAGGAAGATCTGATCTGGGAGCTTCTCAACCAGGCTCAGGTATCCCCACCCACCATCCTCTCCCCTGCTTAGAGCTCTCTGCTTGGATTTGGGAAATTTTTCTTCTCACCTTCTGGTTACTATGTGCCAGGACACAGTAGGAACCCTGCCACACATAATCAGCTTCTCAAGAAGCCCCTGAATTGGGACTCCTCACACGGCAGAAGGGAACCTCCTTTGGTATTACCATCCACCACCCTTTGCCTTTTTGACTGGTGACATCTGAAGAGGGTCCTGTTGTTCTAGTTCATTCCCTTCCCCCTAAACCAGGCCTTCAAGGCCCAGGGCAAACATCAACACCTCCATGAAGACTCTCACGACCCTCCTTCTGTAAACAACCTCTCTCCCAATGTCTGATTCCCTGATTGCACATCTCCAGCCAGTACTTTGGCCAACATGGGCCATAATGAAGTTGGAGTTCTAGAAAGGTGAATCCCGGTCCAGAATTTTCATTGGGTCACTGTGGTTTTGTGTGATCATTCATTCACTCAGTGGAAGCTGCTTGCACTGCTCATTTTACCCCTCTGGAGAGGTGGTGTTCAAGGTCAAGCCAACCTCCTCTCCTTCAGCCCTCGCATCTGCCCATGGAGGGTTTATACCCTGCCAGCCTCTGGATGAGACGCATTTCTTGTTCTCAGTGAGCCTCTCTCAACCATTCAGGGAGACAGGCCTGAAACCCACTCAGGGAAACAATGTGGTGTGGTCCTAAGAAGGCAGTGAGCAGAGACGATGCTAGGTGGGCAACAGCACTCCTGACTGTCCTCTCTCCTGACATCTTGAAGTTTCTCTTTCTTTTTTTTTAATTTTATTTCTGAGGGTTTTTTTTTTTTTGTCTCCTCTTTGATTCCATTTTTTGGCTTCTCTTTCTCCCTGTGGCCATTCACTATTCATTTTACTGTGAACAGGAACATTTCGGCAAAGGCAAATCTGGCGACTTCCAGCTGTTCAGCTCTCCTCATGGGAAGAACCTGCTGTTTAAGGACTCTGCCCTGGGATTCCTTAGGGTGCCCCCTAAGATGGACTTTAGACTGTACTTGGGCTATAAGTATGTTACTGCCGTCCGGAATCTACGGGAAGGCATATGTAAGTACTCAGGAAGGAACAGCTTGAGAAATTTGGCAAGGGCAGGGGTTAGGGATAGAATCTTTCCAGGGACCAAAGCCTCTCCTGGTGTTTCTTTCTTCTGCCCTTCCTGTGAGCTAAATGGCCTTGGCCATGGTGGACCGGACATCACCAAAGGCTTTAAAGGAAATTCATAATGTAAATGACCTGGGTTGGCACTAATATTATTTCCCTTGCATAAATCAGGATTGCCCTATTTCACTTTGTGAATAGGCACAAAATAAGTAAAATAAAAATGAAGTTTCTACAGATTCCACATCTCCAGCCAGTACTATGGCCAACATGTGCCATAATAAAGTTGGAGTTCTAGAAAGGTGGATCCCGGTCCAGAATCTCATTGGGTCACTATGGTTTTGAGTGATCATTCATTCACTCAGTGGACATGCATTAAATATATAGCCATGGGCTCTGCTAAGTGCTGGACATACAAACATATATTAGATTCTGCTGCCCTAGAGCTTTCAGACCAGGGAGAAGACAAATGTTCTGAGTAGTCCCATAATTGAATGATCAATTACAAATGAAAGATCTGCTTAGGAGGGGAGTGCAATAACAAGAAATTACTGTGGTCCTAAAAAGAATGCAAAATAAGTCAAAATAGGCCCTGGCCTGGGGGTGGAGGTGAGGCCCCTGAGGAAGTGACTTGGGGACCGAGTCTGAAAGATAAAAAGTTGTCCTTTTTTTTTTTTTTAATTGCACTGATTGGATGCTCCTGCTGCTTAAACACAGAGGACAAAATGCTTATGGCCTATGCCTGTTGAAGCTTAAGTTCTCCTCAGGGAAACTGACAGTAAGCAATTGACATAAAAATAAGAACATATTAGGTGATTAAGTGCTATTTTTTGAAAAAGAAGAAGGAAAAATAACAACCCGAAATGATGGAGCCCAGAGGCTGGAGAGGACAGTTGGCTTTTCAGAAGAAGTAAAAAGTTAAATCTAAAAAAAACAAGGGATTGTATATTCACTTTTCTTTCTAAGGTGATGAATTCTTTGAATGGAATCTGGCAAAACCAGCATTTACATAAAAACAGATAGTAGGTTCAATAGACACCAGGCAACAGCAGGGGGCCTCTCTCTTCTGAATTCTGGTTCTTTTTCTTGTGCCACAGGCCCAGAAAGCCCAGTGGATGAATGCAAGACCGTGAAGTGGTGTGCACTTAGCCATCACGAGAGGCTCAAGTGCGATGAGTGGAGCATCAACAGTGGAGGGAAAATAGCGTGTGAATCGGCAGAGTCCACTGAGGATTGCATTGCCAAGATCATGGTATGTCACTCTCCCCTCCCTAGGGCAGCCTCCCTCCTATTGCTACCTGCTGGCCACTACTAAGGCTGAGCTGGGAGGGATGAGGAAACCCTGGTTTCCAGGATCCTTGCACTGACTGTATGAGCACAGCAGCCCCAGAAGGTTCAGAACCTTAGTTTGTGGATCTGAAGGATGCCTGTAGGACTCAGGCAAGCTAAGCCATGTCCTGCTGATGGTGTGGGTGTCTGGGGACCTGTGGGCTGCCACGATGAGTACGGTAGGATTCTGTATTGATTTTGTAGGCAGGTACAAAGTTGGTTCATTGATTACAAGAGTATTCCATGTTTGCTTCTAGAGAATTTTGGAAAATCCTGAATGATATAATGAAGAAAATCAAAAGTACTTATAATCATGTAACTCAGAGAAAATTATTGAATTGGGATCATATCATATAGGTTGCTTACCATCTCTTACTCACCTATGATATCTAAGTAGCTTTTCCCATATTATCAATCATTCTTTAAAAAATGTGATTTGGAGCTTCTGTGCTGGCGCATACATTGAGGTGTTAGCAGGGTGGCATGTTTGGCAAGGGCAAGAGAGCTCCAAGCTTCTGAATCCCCTCCACCCCCAGTTCTTTGCCCTGTGCATCACTTCCTTTTGCGGTTCTTGAGTTAGATCTTTTATAATGAATCGGTAAGGTGCATATCTTAAAGGCACTAGGACTTCCTGCCATCATCACTAATTCTTGCTGAAATCTGTCAATTCTACTTTTGAGCACTTATGAATAACCACATAATTATTTATGTGAAATTATGAAATGAAAACCAGACTATCAACCTCATTCTTTTACATTTCATACATCTTAAAATATTGCTTTATACTATTTTAACATATATTCCATTTTATTTGTTTTTTTTGTCTGAATCAAGACAAGAAAAATCAAACCAAATTAAAGCAAAGCCCACCATCTCAAAACCTGAGTCTATCTACCGATCTGTTAACAGCTTGGATAATTTGTCTTCAGTGTTACATGTTGGATCGATGCACTAGCTGCAAAATAAATTCGTGTATGCAAAATCAAATTTAAGTAATGCAAGACTCTTGGGAATACATGAAATCTTAAATAAGAAAGACAAAATTCAACCAAATAGAAACACTTTTTAAGAGTTATTCTTGGACACTATAATTTGTGCTTTCCTAAAATGCCATCATGAGCCTTTACTTTTGGAGATAATCTATAGATGTTGGGACGGAAAGCAAGGACCAGCATATTTCCTTAGAGAGCTCAGTGGCTGATTGCTGCACAAGTGTATTTCCTGGGTAACAATCAGCTTATTACATGATATGCTACCTTAAGAGGTCCAGAATTTGCTCATGGATTAGATGAAACAGAAGTGACCAACATCAGTGCTAGTAAGAACTCTTGCAAACAAAATTGAAGGACATAGTTTATTAGGTCCCACACCTGTGACACATCACCACTGTTGATGGGAAACCACTGCCCTGGCCAAGTTTTACGAAGATGTTACCATGCATGTCATGACTGCAGGGGAAAGTGAAGGTGAGCATGGAAAACAGATTTCACAGGGAACCAGATTCTTTAGACATTGCAGTAACTGTGCACATAAGTGAGTGCACAGGCTTCTTTAATAAGGGATCCATGATCTCCCATAGTAATGTTACTGTTATAATCAGAATGATGGAACAAATTCCACGGCCATGGGAAGATGTTTTCCTTGGATATTTGCCTGTTCCACATTCTAGAATTAATACTGAGCTTGTCTGTCTTTCTTATGGATGTCTAATTGGCAATTCTTCCAGGCTTTAGTGAATCCATCTTTACAAATAAAGAGAGGAAACCAGGCATGGTGGCGCATGCCTATAATCCCATTGGCTCGGGAGGCTGAGGCAGGAGGATCGTCAGTTCAAAGCCAGCCTCTAAAAAGGGTTATTTTAAGTTTAAAAAAGTGAGGTGCTAAGCAACTCAGTGAGACCCTGTTTCAGCAAAAGTGAGGTGCTAAGCAACTCAGTGAGACCCTGTTTCTAAATAAAATCCAAAATAGGGCTGGAGATGTGGCTCAGTGGTCGAGTTCAATCCCTGATACACCCCATTACCAAAAAAAAAAAAAAGAGAGAGAGAGAGAGAGAGAGAGAGAGGAGGAAAAGGGGTCATATCTAGGTTGAAAGCAACACTGATGGCAGCCATTCTAGAAATCATAGCTGAGACCTACAAAAATATCATGAAGAAAGTGGATGAAATGATTACTTTTCAATATGATCTCTTTATTATGGCCCACGAGTATAAAATGGAACAGACTTCAAAAGGGCACAGCACTCCACTGTGTAAGCTTTGTTTTCTGGACATCTCAGTGCTTGCTCACTAGGTGGAAATAGGCTTCTTTTGTGTGGAGGTGCTCCACTTTCTGCAGCCATGCAGATTCATGCTGTCTGGTTTTGCTCTCCTGCTGGTCAAGGCCATGGGCTTGCTGGATTTGCTCCAGCTGGATCACTTGGACAAGGGTGGTGGGCTTACAATACCGGGAGAAGTGCGAGTCCCATGAGTTTGCTGTGAAATGAAAGTAAAGAACTGGAAGGAAGGTGGACACCTTCATAGTGGTAAACCACACCCCAGAGGTGAAATTCTTATTGGTGGCCAACATGTGACAATGAGATTTTTTTTGCAAACATGGAGCCAAAACAAAAGCAGATATTTCTGAAGATGAACATGGACAAAAGTGGCTCTGTACTAGAGATCTTGGAGAATTTGACAGTTGTTGAAAGACCTTTGATCATGAAAAGGACTTTGTTAAAAAAAAAAAAAACTACAGGCAGGAGAATATGTTTCTCTTGGTAAAGTAGAAGCAGCTCTAACACTCCCACTAATAGATGACATTTGTGCATGTGCAAACAGAGATCATTCTCTGTCAGTGGACTTCTGGTGCCAAATCCAAAGGAGGAACTAACAGGACTACCCCAAGAGAAAGGACTTAAAGGGACTTGGGAAGAACTCACAGTTGCCAAAAAGACAATGAGATACAGGTACTCTCTGAAGCTGCTATTTCAGCAAATCTGGAAAAGCTTAAAATGTGTTAAAAATTAATATGAGCCCTGATTTGTGAGCTCTGAAACTGTTCTGGTGACAGAGCCTTCAAACTGAAATACAAAGAGCTTAAAAGGAAGACAGTGAGAAAATGTATGGAAGGAAAGAACTTTGCTCCTTCAGCACTATTTGCTACATTAAGCTCGGACCAAATGGGAAAATACTTGCAACACTAGTCTTAGCCCTCGAGGTACACGCCACTCTTCACCTTCAGCCTAATCCATTATTGCTAGAGACATTACCATTTTTAACCGACAGGATAGGTAGGATATTAAGAGGGCAATTTTTGGTATATCTCTTCTTTCTTTTTCCCCTCCTACACTATGCCACCTATAGTTAGAATAAGGATGTTTCTGAGACGTATTGGGAAAGCAGTATTTCAAAACTTCAAGTTTTCAAACACTATATATGTTGGTCATTTTTTAAAGTTTAGATGTGTAGAGGAAGATAAAAAAAACATGAGCTGGTTACTTACAGTATTTATATATTCATTTAAAATTATGTAAATTTCAAATGCTTATGAATCAAATCATTGTTGAAAAGGTTTTTTTTTTTTGCTGTATAATGATTCTTGTCTGCATTGAGAGAAACAAATATGCCCAATAGTTGTCTTTTAAAGAAAAAACATGATATTTTTCATGTTGATAACTATTCTATAGTATGGATAGGCTGCCATTTATTTAGCCATTTCTTGTCATTGAGCATAGTTTGGTTCTTCTTTTTGCTTTATAAATCACATTTGTTATTTTTCTCACTTATACATTTTGCCCAAATAATTGTCCACATATCTGATTATTTCTTTATGGTATATTGCTATAAAGTATTTAGCCAGGGGAATATTCCAAGGAAAGTGTTGTAAATCTTCTAAAAAATTTTTATTGGTGCATTATGATTATACATGATAGTGGGATTCATTGCGATATGTAGGTACATGCATATAATTTGGTCAGTTTCCTTCCCCAGCACTTCTCCTTTCTCTCCCCTCACTCCCCTGTACTCCACTGCTCTCAGTTCTATTTTTAAGAGATCCATCCCCTCCCCCCACTCTTTTCCCCTCTTTCTAGCTTCCACATGGAAATCTTGCAAATTTTGTTAAATCCAAGCATCTCTGAAATTTGGGACTTATTAGCTCTGAGTACTAGATCATTTGCAAATATTTGACTCACTCATCAAACTCATCTGTTGGGCACTCAGCACTGAAATAGCACCCGGTCAATGGGACTAAAATGAAAAGTTAGAGCTCCATCCAGAGGTGCTTTGTTCCACAGACACATCCCCGACTGCACCCCTCCATCTCTCAGATGAGATGCTTAGGGTCAAAAAGGTGTTGTCGGAACATCTTGGGGACAGTGAGTCCTATGAGAAGACAGGAGGATTGAATATGGGCTTTGTTCTTGAATAAACTCAGCAAGACATGTGGCCTTGATCATCAGTTCATGATGCTTATACTGGTTGGGTGAACATGAACGTACATTTTATTTTCTATGTTGGGCCTGCCTGACTGATCCATTTGGGGTTCAGTACCAGCACCTGCTGTTTCTCTGGCATTCACAGCTGGTGCTGAGAAAGCCCTTCAAGGAAACAGCTGGAAGGGCAGGTGGCACAGAAAATGGCATCTTTTCATCTGTTGTGATTTATTGTGTCTTTGCAGAATGGAGAAGCAGATGCCATGAGCTTGGATGGAGGCTATGTCTACATTGCAGGCCAGTGCGGTCTGATGCCTGTCATGGCGGAGAACTATGGTAAGTACAGAGTGCTGTTTTTATTTTTTTGTTTTTCATTTCTTCAAAGCACTTTATTTTTTTCCCGATGTTCTTGTCTACCATTAACTTTTTATTATTTATTTTTATTTACTTCATTTTATTTTTTTTAAATACACAACAGTGGAATGCATTAAAATTCTTATTACACATATACAGCACAATCTTTCATATCTCTGTTTGTATATAAAGTAGGTCGACACCCAATTCGTGTCTTCATAAATGTATTTTGGATAATGATGTCTATCACATTCCACCATCCTTGCTAATCCCCTGTCTCCTCCCTTTCCTTCCATCCCCTTTTCTCTATCTAGAATTCATATATTCCTCCCAAGCTGCCCCTCCCTACCCCACTATGAGTCAGCCTCCTTATATCAGAGAAAACATTTGACATTTGTTTTTTGGGGGATTGGCTAACTTCATTTAGCATTATCTTCTCCAATGCCATTCATTTACCTGCAAATGCAATGATTTTATTCTCTTTCATTGCTGAATAAAATTCCATTGTGTATATATGCCACATTTTTTTTTTATCCATTCATCCACTGAAGGGCATCTAGGTTGGCTCCACAGTTTAGCTATTGTGAATTGTGCTGCTATAAACATTGATGTGGTTTTATTCCTCCTGGACCATGGAGAGGAAAGATGGAAAAGACATAGACTGATTCACACCATGGCTTTCTTAAAGCTCTCCTCTCCCGAGTGCCTTCTACTTCCAAGTTGCTGGGTTCCCTCACATAGGATCCCCACAGTCATCTGAAAATATGACAGCTATCATACACTCCAGCTCTATGGAAGCTCTATGCTGTGAAGTTTCTGATAAAAGTGACTTGACTGCACAGAGCAGGTGGGATTCCTGGCAGGTCTTTCAGTTTCCAGAACTCATGCTTCTTACTGCTGCCTGGTTGCAGGGATTTAAATATAGTCAGCAGGCACCCCTTTGTGGGCTCTGTTCAGACAGAGCAGGAAATGTGAGATTCACAGTTTGTGGATAGATTTTAGAGGCCAACAGCTGAATGAACTTGCTGGGGATTTGGTGACATGTATAGATTTAGCTGACTCTTTTTTGTTCATAGTTTCTACATGAGAAAGGCATGATTTTCTAATCTGTATGTGCTTAATGCCTTCTTCATTTTATTTCCCGCAGAAAGCGCCAATTGTCAATCACTGGAGGAAGGTGAGTTGGAATTGGTACCCTTGGGGATTATAAGGTAAATTCCCCCGTTTGGGGGAAGGGGTTGGTAAGTTTGAAATTTAAATCACAAGTAGATAAGGCAATGGAAGAGATAAATTTTTAGAATGCAGAAGGGTTATGGAAGGTAGTAATTAATAATGCTGGTTATTCCTTTACATTTGCCATGACTTATACACAGGATTTCTCATTTAATCCTATAAGGCAGGCATCTTCTAAGGATGCACAGAGGACCCTGGGGCTCAGAGAGCTTACAGATTGTTTAGGAACATATATCTAAAAAGCAAATCCCACAGCTTCCACCATCTTGAATTACATGAGACATGCACTTTTTAGATAAGAGAACTATACAAGGAACCTTGCTTATGTACTCCTTAAAGGGCTGAGAGTCTTACAAAGGTAGGTGTCCAGGAACAGGAAATTACCTGGCCCCAGGAACCTGGCCAACCTGGCTCTTGCCCGGGGCTCTGGCTAGAGGTGAATCAGGAAAGATGGGGCAGGCACAAGTTAGAAAATCTTATACCAAGGTGAGCACTGGGCCTTGTGCTCAGGTCCCTGAAGGTCATATTCCAGATGGCTGTCCATATGTGAGTTTGTCCTTGTCCCTTCTGCTGAGTACAACCTCCTAGTCTCTCCCATCACTCAAGGAGTCAAGCTCTTTAGCAGATCTGGAAAGAGCCATTCTTATCCTATGGATAGTAAATATTATGTTTTCATTACTGGTCTTTTATTACATTCTCCCAATGAGTGTTAATTTGTGAAACGTTGGGCATTACGTTAGCTGTTCAGTTTCCACTCCTCTGATATAGTACATTGGAGGGTGAACTGCTGTTTTTTCACTTCAGTGACTTCGTGCATTCAGGAAAGGGTTGTACACTAGCTATCGCTTTAATAATAATGTATTCTTAGTATTTGAGGGTTTGTGTTTATTTTTTAACTGATACCTAAAAACATAAAAACTGTACTTAATAATGGGTTGTGGTTATCATAGTATTTTGTTTTTGAAGTTCAGATTCAGCTTTTCCCTACAGAATGCCTTGTCCTTCACCACAGTCAGCTATTGCAGAGATCCTTTCAAGATACTCTGAACGATTCAGGCCATCTTTGCCACCATAGGGAGATGGTGGCTTTAATTGGAAGCAGACACTTTGGAGGCTACACATCCTTTTTGGTGTCTTTCTTATAGGATATTATGCTGTGGCCGTGGTAAAGAAATCAAATGCTGATATCACCTGGAACTCTTTGAAGGGCAAGAAGTCCTGCCACACTGCAGTAGACAGGACAGCTGGCTGGAACATTCCCATGGGCCTGCTCTATAGCCGAATCAACCACTGCAGATTTGGTGAGCAAATCCAGCGAGGGACACACTGGAAAGAAGGGTCCTGGGGGAGAGGGATGCAGTCCAAGATGCCGTGGGCCCTGGTTCTGTGGAAGTAAAATTTGGTAAAAGTAAACTTTAAGGAAATATCAGAAAAGACTAGGAGAGCTGAAGAGCTGGGGAGCTGGGCCAGGATGGTTCATTTCAGTCGTACATCATGGCTTCAGTGAATCTGTGTTTACTTTTATCCCTCCTGAAGAGGACCAGAGGAGTGCAGACCATGGTAGGCATGGTCAGGAGGGCTCCTTCCTTCTTTCTGTTCCATTATTCCCAGGACGAGGCTTCCATGTTCAAGGCCACCCTATGATCCATCACATTCATGATCCAGGCAGCCCCAAGCACCAAGGAGTTAGAGCCAGATGCTGTCAGAAAGATGCCTTTTAGGATGCCTAGTTGATTACTTCCGCTAACTCCCCATTGCTCAGAACTTGAGTATATCACCACTCCTAGCTATAAAAGAGAAATATAATCAATCATTGGGTGTGTTCCTATATCAAATAAGACTAGATATTTGTTACTAAGAAACAAAGGGAAATGAACATTGGATAGAGAGCTAGCAATCTTTGCCACAGGGGTTTTGGACCTGTGGGTAGTCCTAGGTCTCTGAAGGTGTTAGCAGTCTCACTGAGTCACTGACCAGCTCCTAGGGTTCTCCTAAGGGGTAGATCCCAGCTTATTCTCTGTGTCCTCTGAGCACCATCAGGTAGGAGTTTATTTCTATCTCCTTAAACTTTTCGGTGTAAATATCCCCAGAGCAAATGCTTTGCAATGCTTTTGATTTGCACTAGCTTCCTGAGTACTTCCTCTCTGCCGCCTCCAAATTTGGGCAACTCCTTAAAAAGGAGAAGCCCCTAAATCTTGTATGTGGGGACTGGAGATGGGAGCACATCTCTGCACCGGGGTGCTCTGGGACACCTGTTTGACATGAAGCAAAGTGCAGCTGTGGCCACATTCAGAAAGCTTGGGCTCCCTATCAGCAAAGGACTGCTTACACTCTCTTGAGCCTCCTGGTGCATTTACAGTCATGGGTGAGCAGCTGAACTGCAAGGAAAACTCCCCATCCCTTTCTTGAGCTTGAAGACATAGGAAAGTATCTCCTAATGAACAGCAGGGAGAAGAGATATCTGAAAACAGATGGCACAAGCTCATGAATCCCATTTCTTCTCTCTTTGGCTGGTGGTGACACCATCATGGTGCTCAAGGGCATCCCCTCCACCATAAACTCCTTTTCCCAACCTCATTAAATTTCCTTTTAAAACCTATAGCCTAGCCTAGCAATTCTGAGTTGGTGGGTGGCAGATCACAGAATGAATTAATATGTTCTCTCTTTCCTAGACCTTGTAGCCCTATTATGTGTTAGATAAGAGCTACTTGTAGTGACTTAGAAGAGCTGATTTCTTCTTCTTCTTTTTTTTTTTTTTTTTTTTTTTGGTGGTGCTGAGGATTGAACCCAGGGCCTTGTATATGTGAGGCAAACACTAGACCAACTGAGCTATATCCCCAGTCCTGATTTCTTATCCTTCTTTGCAGATGAATTTTTCAGTCAAGGCTGTGCCCCTGGGTATGAGAAAAATTCCAGTCTCTGTGAGTTGTGCATTGGCCCAAGTGTTTGTGCTTCCAACAACAAGGAGACATATTATGGCTACACAGGGGCTTTCAGGTGAGTCTTTTAATCCTAACACAACTATAACAACATCCCAACCTGACCAGACTCCTTTCAGGAACTAAGGCGAGATTCTCAAATATTAGTTCATTAAGTACCATATGTATTAGGGAAGAAAATTCTGCAAGCAAATGTAGAACTGTTTGTGAAGGAGCACCAGGCTCCTCAAGGGCACTGTCTGCTAGACCTGGCTGTCTATGACTTCTAGGTATGGTTTATCAGTTCTCACTTACAAGTTTGTCCTCTGGGAGACATTTGGCAATGTCTAGAGACATTTTTGATTGACAATGTTGGGAAGAGTGTGCTATTAGCATCCCATGGGTAGCTAAACATTGAATAATGCACAGGACGATACAATAGAAGAAAGAATTATCTAGTTCCAAATGTCACTACTGCCAATGCAAAAATAAACCTTACTCTACACTGAGTCAGGAGTTTGGCTCAAGCTCTTCCATGCACCTTGGGGGAAACCTAGAACTAAACTCATCTGAAAGTACAGAATAGTGAAGTACATAATTTCTATATTTCCTCACTACATTCATACTTTATAGAATGTCTATCATTTTTTAAAAAATATTTTTAGATGTTGATGGACCTTTATTTTATTCATTTATTTATATGCAGTGCTGAGAATCAAACCCAGTGCCCACCTGTGCTAAGCAATCACTCTACTACTGAGCCACAACTCCAGCCCCAGAATGCCTATCATTTTTAAAGAGACACCTGTGTACCTTACTACATTACTACTTTTTAGCTATGCTTTCTGCTTCAGGCCTCCTGTCATCTTGGTAGTTCACAAATCCATGAACTGCACATAATGGTGGTATTATACTTGAATTTCCCAGTAGTGGAGGGAAAAACAAAGGTCATCCCTATTTTCCAGTTACAGCTACTATGTGAGTTAACAGCAAGTTCTATTCACACTCCAATTATTCACATTTCTAATTGTACAAAATGGAGTGCATTGTTTTTATGGGGACTTAAGAGCTTAGGGGGACTTAAAGTATAGTACCCCTTTGACGATTACCTTATCTTTTTCTGATGGTAACATGTTTGAGAATTGTAGGTCAGGAGAAATGGCTCAAACTTTGCTTACATAATGTGCCTTGAAGGTTTCTTTGTTCTAGAAATAGCTTATAAAACATTAAGTTATGACATAAAACATATCAAACTGACAGATTCTGAACGCAAAAGAAAATGAAATGCAATTAATACAGGGCACAGCAGATGCCCCATTTTTTCAGCTAGTTATCCCCCAAACTCTTAAACAGCTGCAGGAAGAATCAGGTTATTTCCCTGAGGAAATAGGGTCAAGGAAGCTGGAGAGCAGCACTAGGCCTATCATATAGGAATCTGATCCATCTGCGTCTTTTGAGTAGGGCCTTGTGCAGATGATGGAGCACACATTAGTTTGTCGTGTGCTGTGCATTTTCAGAGAATTGCAGTAAAAAGCAATAACATATCCACACTCATGCAGAGTTAATTTTGTTAGTATGGTTTTGGGGACTTAGAAGCTTCTTGGGGACAAGAAGCTTAGAAGCTCAGACTTGTGGTTCACAACCTCCAATACCTTGCCCAGGGCTATGTGGATTGAGATTTAGTCGAATTGAGTGCCTTCATACCAGGTTTTGCCTCATTCTCTGTACTTTTCAAATAAATGAAAACAAAATGTCCAAAAAATGTCCAAATTGCTCCCTGAATATTAATTTTTTGGAACGGATGAAGGGTATCCTAAATTGAAATTTCTAATGGTTTCAGTTTCTCACAAATGTAGTATCAGCATTCACATCTTCCAAAATTTGAAGGAATGGAGTTTTTTTGTCCACATTTCATATACTGGGGAGACATTACCTCCCTGAAAAACCAGTTCTCTCTTCCTTGTGTGGAAATTAGGAAAAGGATGCAATCTGTTGAAGAAGCTGTAATAAAAACTCATGCTTAGTTGGTGGACCCAAGGTTATATCATTGTACAGCAATTTAGAGCCTTTGGTTTTTCATTCCTTATGTTGCTTAGCGACAGAGAGGAAGTTACCATTGCTGGTATCAGCTGGCTATCCTGGATCTATAATGTGAGTGACATGAGTCTGTCTGACCACCTCTCTTCTCTCTCCCCTTGTCTGGACCTCTGCAGGTGTCTGGTTGAGAAGGGAGATGTGGCCTTTGTGAAACACCAGACTGTTTTGCAAAATACTGGTGGTAAGTGCACATACTTTTGTGTCCCCATAAAATCTGGATCACTAGAAAAAAATTGATATGCAGGGATGACTTTGGAGAAGTATCACAGACACTGACAGGTTGCAAAGCTTTAATGCTCAACCTGGGTCTTCAGTGAAGAGAGAAGCATTCATCTGGATAGCACAATAATAAAGCCCATAGTGTTCCCAATGGCCCTAAATCCTCCCTGTCCACAGCTTCAGGCCTGGCTCTCCTTTCCCCTAAATACCTTAGTGCCTATTTTCCAAGAACAAAGCATTCTCTTAGATATCTATAGTACAGTTATCAGGATCAGGAAATTTTACATTATGTGGATTTCATCCCATATAGTACATATTCAGGACTTGTCAATCATTCCAATAATGCCCATGATAGCTATATTTTTTATATTTTTCTGCTCCATGCACTGAGAAGGCCTAGAGATAATTACATACCAGTAGCAATGAGCATCAAGATATTGGCTTCTAAATTCTATTCTCTGCAAAAAGGAACCAGAACTCCTTGGAAAAATAGCTAAATCTGGTTGGGGCCAGCAAACTATATGGCGACCCACTCACACTGAAGGACTCAAAAAATGACAGATGCATATCTCTCTCTCAAAAAAAAAAAAAAAGTGATGGCATGAATCAAAACTTCAGGAGACAATTGGAAAGACCTCCCACCACCAAATCTGGGAATTTTGAACATTCTAACAAATAATAATAGCAGAAGAGGATAGTAACCCACAGAATGAAGTAGGAATCCATGAAATGAAACTGCTCAGACAAAGGAAGGAAAGCTCTTCCTCATCATAGAATCTAATTAACAAATGTAGAAGGAATAGGAAAGACAGAAAAGCCCAGTATCTCTATTTCACAAGGTTTCATTTTCAGGCAGAGTACCTCAGCCTTGTAGGCTCAACTTGCATAAGTCCAAATTCCTTGTCCTTCTCTCAGAGTTCCCTTCTCTTCTCATAGTCTCTATCCCTATAGAGAATCTTGTTATACTTCCTGCCAATCACAACCAGATTGAGCCTGTCAGTCAGTCTTATATTATCTCTCAAAAAATGTGCTGTTATATGTTATGGTATAGAAGAAGCAAGACACAAAACCACATGGGCTCTTGATTTTATGTATATATGTGTGTATATGTTGTAATCATGTGTAGTAAAAAGACTAGATGAAATGTAATCATTTTGAAGGAATATGCTATGGAATTATAAATGTTTCAAAATTTTCTTCCAGACACCATATAGCATTCTACAAATTCTTACAGACATGCATTACTTTGATCTTTCTAGAAATAAAACAAGTCTTCACAGACTCATGCTGAGCACCTCACTCAGTGCCCTTTAGAGCTTGGCCATCTCATCTGTTTGGCCACACTGCCCAAGATTCTGTTCCAGAATCACCAGGCACACACTTGTTCCTGAGTCTTCCCTGTGTTATCCTTTCCTTCCACATAGAAGGATCCTTTCTCCACCTCTCATCCTATGCATTATACAAAATACACCTAAAACTTTGCCTTCTCCGACTAGCTTCCCTAATCGATCTGCTTTTGAAGCCCTGGTTCTGAATTTGCACAGCATTTAGAGTGTGCTCCACAAAATTTATTGTCTGGATCTTCACTCTGGATTATTTGCCTTTGGTATGTGTGTTATTTTCTTAGCTCCAAAGACCGTTCCTTGCAAAGGGCTGAGACTATATAGTATTACTCAATAAATACTTGAATTTCCAAATAGAACAGAACAGATTTGGATGGAAAGCTGATGGATTCTATTTGAAAGATGTGAATTTTGACCAATAGGCAAGAAAGGGAAGGAGAAGTGTTAGCAAGTGCTCAAAGGTGTTTGTGTATCTTAGGGTTGTGGTGAGAAGGGCATTTGGTTCATTCAACTAACATGAAAATGCACAAATCCTTTGAACTAGCTATTCTATTTCCAAAGTACAATCAAACAATATTACTCATTTTAACCCAACTGTAGTGGCAAAAAAATAAATCATAAACACCCTAAATGTCCATTAATAAAGGAATAGTTTTCAAAATTACTGTCCCTTCCTCTCTACATTGCTGTAAACCCAGCAGGTGCAGGGGTGCATGCCTATAATCCCAGCAACTCCGGAGGCTGAGGCAGGAAGCTAATGCATTCAAAGCCATCTTCACCAACATAGCGAGACCCTGACTCTAAATAAAATATAAATAGGGCTGGGGATGTGGCTTAGTGGTTAAGTACCCCTAGGTTCAATCGCCAGTATAAAAAAAGAAAACAACTACTATGCTACGTCCATACTAAGGACTAGGATATGGTAGTTAAAAAGAATGAAATTGATTAACATATGCTGACACAGATGAAGCTACCAGCTTGTCAGTGGCTTATATTTGACAAGATCTAATGCAATGAAAAATTATAAATATGTAACATCTTATAGACACAGTAGAGGTAAAGACATATAACAAGTATTGGATTGAAACAAAGTGATATAAAGGATTAGAGCTACAGTATATATATTCCAAAACACATGAGCATGATCTCTTGCATTACTTGCTCAGTGAAACAAAGAAAATTAAATGAAAATGAATGAAATTTAAAAAGGTTGCAATCCCATATTATGGAAGAGAAATAAAAGTTGGTAAAACACATTTGAGAAGTACCTCAGGAGAAGAAGCTGAAACCTTGAGAATGGTGTGTGTGTGTGTGTGTGTGTGTGTGTGTGTGTGTGTGTGTTTCAAAGAGAGTACAGGAAAGATTGAGGCAAGAGGCTGAGATAAGCCAGGACCTGCACCACATACGCATGTGTGAATTAGAACAAGTTACAGGGGAGTCGGATGGAAAATGCTGGTGCAGATTGCAGAAGTGTCCCCTGGGGAAGAGTTTCTGTTTGGAGATGCCATTTATAGCACAGATCTTGATAAACCTGGCTCAGAACATCATGTTCTTCCTATGCTAGAGCAAGAAATATTGAAGGCTTTGGAATTTAATAAAAATGAGGACTTTTTTTTTGGAACCACATCTTTCTCACCTGGCTGGGGAGGGAAGATCAGAAGAGGGTAGTCATAAATAGGTCCTGGTGTGAGCCGACTATCACCTTGTAGACCAAGTTGAGTGTCCCTTCCTCTCCACATTGCTGTAAACCCAGCATGTGCATTTCTGCTGGCCAGAGGGTCCAGATCCTCCCCACCCCAGTGGTCAGTAACATCCTCCCAGTGACCAAGGCCATAAGCTCAGGCTGATCCACTTTCTTTCTCTATCCAGGAAAGAACCCTGATGAGTGGGCTAAGAATCTGAAGGAGGAAGACTTTGAGTTGCTGTGCCCTGATGGTACCAGGAAGCCTGTGTCTGAAGCTGAGAACTGCCACCTGGCCCGAGCCCCGAATCATGCTGTAGTCTCACGGAAAGATAAGGCAGCATGTGTTCGCGAGGTGTTACGTAGCCAAGTGGTATGAACCAGCCAGAGTCTCCTGCCCTTAATTCCTACATAGTTACAGATTGTTTGTGGGAGTTCATAGCTAAGTACAACCCTGGCTCAAGCCTTTTCTTTCTGAAAACTAGAATTGAGAGGCCATGGATTATGGACCAGAATCTCAGTTTGGTAGCTTCCTAGCTGTGCCATCTTAGTTATATGGTTTATCCTCTCTCTGCCTCAGTTTCTTCATTGTAAAACAGGAATAGCAATATTTATGCCTGCTTCTCAGTTAATATGAGGATTAACGGTTAGATCCAAAGGGTTTAGGAAAATGTGTGATCCATGGGAAGTGCTCCAAACATGCTAGCTAAGCAGTTATACAACTGGACCTCTCAGGACTGGCATTTCTGTCTCTCTATCACTGGAAATAAGTCCCTGTCTGATCCTTGTGTCCTCAGGACCACGAATATGCCTTCCTGCTCCTCTTAGCCTTGCTTAGGGTACCCTTCTTTTCCCCACATCTGTCCTTTATAAAAGTGAAGAAGATTGATCCTGTTTCCTAGCAAGACTCTTCAAGTCTTGAAGAATAGATTTCTATTGCTCTTGTTTAGGCAGACTGGGCATGATGCTCAATAGTGTGAAGAGCACAGGACCTCTATGCTTAGCAAGCCTTCCCTATGGGGAGGAAAACCATGTCAGGGCCATTCTCAGAGAAGAGAGGGGCTGCTTGAGTGTTCTAATCCTGAAGACCCCTCTATAAGTAAACATCACCTTCCTCTTAGGTGATGAGTCTCCAGTACTTTTTTCAAGAAAATTAAGATAGCATATCTTGAAAAGTCCTAATGTTCAGAAGTGCATGAAAACAATACTGAGTATGTAATGACCATCCCCTAGGTGCTATATGGAATTCTAAACTTTTTATAGTCATCATTTTACTTATAGCCTTAGAAGGACTGGAGAAGTTAAATGGTTGGCCCCAGATAAGACTAGAAATGCAATCAAACATGAACTTTCAACAATGACCTCTACTACTCCTCTAGGAGGGGTCATATTGAACAACTTCTTGGGCATTGAAGAACATGTTATTGTCCTCTCATTTCCTATAAGCAGCCCCCAAGGGACTTGGGCAATGAAGCAGGGGAAGAGACCAGAGAAGGCAAGAGTGGGTGGGTGGAAGGAGGGACATCTCAGAAGAAGCTAGACAAGGCCCCTTACAGAGGACTTGCATAAAATCCTGGAATTGGGACTTCAAGTGGATAAATGGTGGATGAGGGAGGTGGAAATTCCCAAGGCATATCTGTAGCTTCCCTTTGTTGCTAGGACTGATTCAGAGCTTTGAACCTCCTCTGATGCATGTTCCCAGCTGCTCAGGGCCACAGGTCCTCACGTTATTTTCTGTCTTTTGACAGACTGAGTTTGGAAGTCATGTATCGGACTGCTCGAACAAGTTCTGTTTGTTTTCATCGGAAACCAAGGACCTTCTGTTCAGGGATGACACAAAATGTTTGGTCAGACTTACAGATGATACCACATATGAAAAGTACTTAGGGGCTGAGTATGTCACAGCTGTTGGAAACCTGAGAAAATGCTCCACCTCAAGTGAGTAGGAGGAACAGCAAGAGAAAGTTGCAAATAAAGCACAGTTGTGGGTCCTGGGGTGGTGGATGCAAAGGAGAAGTGGAGTCTGGCCCTCAGGATGTGTCCCATGGGAAAAATGAAACAGTAAGAGAACAATATAACCTAAGCCCAGAACGTATGATAGGTCAGCCTGTATGAGCAGGTAGTAAGGGGGACAGAGGCCCAGGATACTAAGATAGTGAACTTATTGGACATCTTCTAAGAAAATGAGGAGGTTAATGGGTATGAGCACATGTCATTGCTCTTCAGTAAACTTTTTATTAGAGTTGACTTGTTCAGTATGGTAGCCAGTATCAAGATGTGGCTATTTAAATTTCAATGAATTAATATTGAATTAAATTAGGCTCCCCCTTTTCTTTTTGACGGTAGTGAGGATTGAACTCAAGGCCTCGTGCATTCTAGGCAAGTAGTCTACCACTGAGCTACATCCCAAGCCCCAAACTGAATTAAATTTAAAAATTATTTCCTTAGTCTTACCCAACCACATTTTAATTGCTTGGTAGCCACAAGTGACTCCCTATTGGTCAGCAAAGAGAACATCATTGCAGAAAGTACTTTCAGACAGTAAGGCTCTAGAGATAAGTTCTGGTAATACAAAGTTGCCAAACATACCACTCATCTGGAACAGGTTCTAGGAACTGTGATAGAATAAAACACACCTCTGCAGTGTAACTATCTGTGAAATAACCCAATCACTTGGAAGCATTTGGAAGATGGGGAGAATAAGATGTGGTATAGGGTAGTTATTCTTCAACTATAGAAAGTGAATAAGTGAATCTTGGTCCTGATGAAAAATGTGTATTTCCAGGCCCTAAAAAAAGACTGATTCAGCAAGTCTGTGCTATTTCAGGATGACTACGCTTTAAAAATTGGCCCATATAATTCTAATGTAAGCAACGTGGTCATCCAGGGCCATGGTTACAAAAATCAGGTTAACATTTACTTAACCTGTATCCTCTAAAGGGAGGTTGTCTGGCTCTGTATTCTGCCTCCATCCCTAGCCCAAGCACAGAAATTGGCAGATGCTTCTTACTATGTAAGTTCCTCACCTGCTTAAAGAGGTCAGGCAGAGAGCAGACTTCCAGGGTGACCCACCCACATGAACTCAGGTGTGTAAGCCCTGCCCATAAGAAACAAGGTAGGGGGATACTATACAGCAGGGAAACCATGTTAAAGCCTTTGTAGCTTTGGTGTGGTGCCTTCCCTGAGGGAGGCATAGGTGCTGTGCAGGCAAGTGGGGAAGGGCACTTGGGAAATGGTCCAGTATGTCACAAGAAGAGCAGGGCAACCAGTCTGAGTACCTGCCTCTGTGCTACACTTAACTGTCTATTCACTCAATGGTTCATAAAGAAATATAAGTACATTCTGAATTTCCTATCTCTCTGCTCTGCTCCATAGGACTCCTGGAAGCCTGCACTTTCCACAAATATTAAAATCCAAGAGGTGGGGCTGCTCCTCGGATGGAGACGGGAGCTCAGGTGACCCGTGGTCTTCCCCTGATCTCGCTAGCTTGAGGGGCTTGTGTCAACCGTGTTTGTCTTCACAGCTCTGTTGTCACATGCATAGGTCACAAAATAAAGACTATTGTTGATTTTATATTTCAACAACTTCATTTTTTTTTACAAATATTTCCACCAGAAGGATTTCTTTATCTGTCTATGTGTGCAGCTGAACCCCTTCTTCTGAGCTTAAGACCCATCTAGATTTTCCCTGCAGTTCTGTGTGGTGCCATAACCATACCTCTTGGGTCCACCACATGAAGGAACATTTTCTAAAAGGGTCTGTGTGTTCATTATAATAGAATCAAATGTATGTGCTCCTATGTATGTGCACATATGTGTTACCAGGGAAGGGGCAGGAAGGATAGGGAGTGAGTTACAAAGATCAAGTGTTCAGTGAGTATAGAAACGAGTATAGAGGACTTATTTTTTTAGGCACCAGGGATTGAACTCAGGGGCACTCAACCATTGAGCCACATCCCCAGCCCTTTTTTGTATTTTATTTAGAGACAGTGTCTCACTGAGTTGCTTAATGCCTTGCTGTTGCTGAGGCTGGCTTTGAACTTGAGATCCTCCTGCCTCCGTCTTCCGAGCTGCTGGGATTATAGGCATGTGCCATATGCCTGGATTTATTTTTATATTTTGAATGCATCCTATCTGACATAGCCAAGGTTCTGATTCTAACCTGATTCTGAAACATCTTTGGCTAAAAATCATCCCTTGGACAGTTTCTGCCGTCTCCTTCCCTTCTCACCCAGCTTCCTCTAAGAGGGAGGCTCATTTTTCCTTGTGTCATTTATTATTATTGAATGAACACACAGAAACCAGTCTTTGGCTCCACCCACTTACCTGAAGCTACTCTGGTGAAAGTCAGCACCACCTTCCCACTGTTAAACCAACTCAGTCATTTCATTCTTGAACCTGTTTCCTGCACATGATACAGTTGACCAGACCTTCCTCCTTGGGACTCTTTCCCTTAGCTTCTTGGACATGACCTCTCTCCTCTGCTTTGATTCCTACCTCTCTGTTCATTTGTGGTCTTACTGTAGACTCATCCTATCTACCTTGGAATTGGGGAGGGGGGGGGCGGGAATCTTCCTGGAGTTCTTCTCTAGATCCAGTGCTCCTCTCACTTTCCAGGCTCTCCTTCAAGCAATGCTAATGACTCTTGGGCACCCATATTGGTCATTGTAACCCCAGCCTCCAGTGTCCCCCAACACACTGATTCCACCTATTACCAGTGGATCTATATTGTAGAGTCCTACAGTGAGCAGAAACCCAACAAATCAAAATCTGGGCTAGAGGTGTAACCCAGTGATAGCGGGCTTGCCCAACATGTGTGAAACCCTAGGTTTGATTCCCAGCATTACAAATAAAACAAAACAAAAACAAAAAACAAGAGAATCATCCTGTCCTTCTTCCTTCTGTTGCTTCCCTAAACTAACTATTGTTAGTATATTGGCTGAAGACACTGTCATTTACTCAGTCATTCATGCTGCAGACAGAGGTATCAAGTCTCATTCACCATTTTCCTCCATTCCACATCCAAAGTCTATGTTGATTCTGAACCTCTAAATAACTCTCCACTTGCCCCTTTTACCAACTCCTACCACAGCCTCACTTTCCATTCAGATGCAGAACTGCAGATAAGGGGTTTCTGCACAAAATCTTTCACACTTCTCTTAATCTCAGGAATAAGGACTCTGGATGTGCTTTGCAGTCTAGACCTGGTGTGAACCTTTTTATACCAGCCTTGATTCACTCTGAACCTATCAATCCTCAGCCTATTGAAAAGTCACCTAAAGTCCACCGTCACCCCAGATCCTATAATTTCAACTTGTCCTTTGTTGGGATGTGGTCTGTCTCGTTGTAACAGGTCAATACACCTAATTTTGATAGACTAACAGAACTCTTAGGCATTTGGGCTAGTACAACAACTTTTAGTGTCAGGAGTCGCTCTGGAAATACACACCCTTAAGTCCTGAGCAAGAGATACTGAACAATTATTGTGTCCCATAATAACCTGGGCTTCATGCTCAGATAATGAGGAGGCTCCAGGAGTAGGTGTCACCCAGTGGAGTTGAGTTACACTCACCTGTTCCTTTGTAATCCTACCCCTTTGCCCTTTTTGGGATAGAATGTTCTATGGAACCTCCCCTTGTGTGTCCCCTGTATAAGAATAAAGAATTCCAGTGGTTCTCTCTTTTTTTCCATGGACCCCTAAGGTCGGAGAGCCATCCTGGATTATTGAAAAGGTACTTCTTTGTGTTTGTGTGCTTTCTTTGCCATTTTCTTAAGTTATTGGAGTAGTCGGATTTGCGAACCCGGCATAGGTCGCCAGCTAGAATAGATGGCAATAATTCGGCACCCTTCCACCATCCTTAATTACTAAAACAGGATAGGCAGATGTTACTGGGCAGTGGTCTTTTATACATATATCCAAAAGCTAACATGTGCCTATGGTAAAGAAACATTGATTACCACCAACCTTAGATCACAGTGTTTTAGAGCTACTGGCCAATCCAATTACATAAGAAACCTAATAAGATATAATATTTAAAGAAACATCAAAATTTATAGTGAGAACTATATACTAGAAAATCAATAAAACAAATAATAATGTATTAAAAATAAATTTAAAAAGTAAAATAAAATTCAGTAAAACGGAAAGAAAAATTGAGATACAAAATAAATTTCTCTTACATAAATAAGAGTGAGTTAGAATAATAATGTTTTGTAAGAACAAGTAAAATGCATCACTAAACTCATGAAAACTACATTTAAAAGTGATTTAAACCATACTCAGTAAAAAATAATACAAAAAAGACATAGTGCCTTGGATAGGAAGACTCAGTATTGTAAAGATGCCAATTCTCCCTTAATCAATATACAAGCAATTTTTTAACTCAAGAAAATTATAGTACTGCTCAATTAAAAAATAAACATGAGACAGTTAAGAATAAGTCTGAGAAAAGAGTAATGATAGTGGACCAGTTACCTCTTCCATCTATTAAAATGTATGATAAGCTCCTGGACATTTGCATTAGGGATCATTTTTTGGATATAAAACCAAAACCTCAGGGCACAAAAGCAAAAAATAAACAGGGCTAGGGATATAGCTCAGTTGGTAGAGGGCTTGCCTAGCATGCATAAGGCCCCAGGTTCAATACCCAGCACCACAAAAAACAAAACAAACAAACAAACAACAACAGAAAAAGCAAAAAATAAATAAATGGGACTATATCAAACAGAAATACTTCTGCACAGCATAGAAAACAATCAACATAATGAAGTGACAGCGCGTAGACTGGGAAAATATATTTGCAAATCATGTATCTGATAGTTAATATCCAAAATGTATAAGTCATACAACTCAATAGTAGAAAAACAAATAGTCTGAATAAAAAAACGGTCAAAAGAACCTAATAGACATTTCTCCAAAGAAGAAAAATTGCCAACAGGTATATGAAAATGTGCTCAGCATCATTAATGATCAGGGAATGCTAACAAAACCACTATGAGATACCACTTCATGCCCATCTAGAAGGCTATTATCAAAAAGTCAAAAGATAACAAGTGCCAGTTAGGGCATGAAGAATGGGAACTCTTGTACACTTTTGGTTGAAATGAAGATTGGCACAGTCATTATAAAAATGATAGGAAGAAAGAAAATTAAAGAATTCAAAAGAGAACTACCATACGACCTAGCAATCCCTCTTTGGGTAATACCCACTCATGGATTTTTCTAAAGAAGAACCAATGGTTATTATAAAGGAGCAAAGTGTGTATGTATGGAGTTCTCTCCTCAGTATTAGTATTGGAGGGAGTAGCTAAGAGGATGCATTTTTGATCAGGCAGGAAGTGAAAGAAAGATGTTAAGATCTTTGGATGGTTAACAATATGATTTAGGCAAAACCTTGAAAAACTGACCATGGCGAGAAATACAATTTTGAGCATTAGTTTGACCTTGTTGGCAATTGATGCTGAATCATCAATTACAAAATTCATAAAAGTTGGTTAGAATAGCCATTTTAGCAAGAGTGACAGAGGTAAAGCTAGGAAGGTATGTTTGTGTTGGAAAGTAGATATGGAGCAGGAGTTAGGACCATAAGAAAGAATTAGAATGTGGCAAGATCTGATATTTGTAATTGATGATGGTAATTTATAATCAAGTGATTTATTTACTTTCTTAACCCTCACATTTTAAACATCCTTTCTTGATCCAGAGTCCCCATTGTTTGTTTTTATTGAGTGAATCCTACTTTGTTTGAACATGTAGTATGTAGGAGTCCAACCACTTGGGATCTACAGTTAACTATGTCACCCTCAACTGCAACTTCTTATTGCATTGAGACTAAACTCTAAGTTCCTGAGCACCGCTGAATGCCTTCCTAGACTTACCTAGCATTGATTTTCCTGGCTGCTTCCCTTAGTGCAGTCATTTGAGTCTCATGCCTAGGTGTACAGTGTAGGGGACTAAATTACTGTGTTTCCTGCACATGCCGTCGGCTCCTACTTCTTTTCTTCTTTATGGAGCTTTCTTGCCCCTTTAAGCGCCCGCAGCGGCTCACTCATCCTTCAGATGCGTCTCACCTCACGTAGAGACCGACTAGAAATTCTAAGTGGAAATTTCGAGAGCCATTCATTTCATTGCTCTTTCCACAGTCATTTAGGCGGCGAAGAATGAGGGTTCTGGCCTTCGTAGAGGAGCTGGGTGTATGAGCGAACTACAACTCCCATCAGGCACACGGGCATCCCACAGGCCCGAAAGCGGGAACTACCACTCCCGTGAAGCTCTGCTGCTCGCGCCTGCGCAGAGCATAGGGCCACGTCGCTTTTGCGGCACCGGAGAGCACGCGCCTCATCCATGGCTTCCGCGGATTCACGGCGGATGGGAGATACCGGCGGTGCCGGGGGCACCTTCCAGCCCTACCTAGACTCCTTGAGGCAGGAGCTGCAGCAGAGGGACCCAACGTTGTTGTCAGTACTGGTGTCGCTCCTCGTAGTGCTGCTGACGCTGGGTAAAGAAGCGGTGGGTGACTATGGTGGGTGCGGGGTGGCCGGGGTCCCGGCCTCCGCTATGCTTCGGCAGGCCCG